CCTAACCTTCCGATGGATCCGACGGCCTATGACTCGGATTTCATACCAAACTCTTTGGACAATTGGAACAATTTGTTGGCACAAAGAAGTCAACGACTACTGGAGGGACAGATCGTTGGCCCCGAATCCATGACAGAAAGGCACCAATTCTTGTACACCGGTCTCGCAGACGGAAGACTCGTTGAGATCAACAAGAAGTCACTCGAAATCAGAGACATCACCAGATTTGCCAAAAAGTCTGATTGCGGTAAATGTGAAGCCATTCGTTGATTACTCTTATAATTGATTGCCATTTGATTGCATCCAAAGTGGACAATGAGTTCCGAGAGATGATTCAATGCGGACGTCCTCTGGGTTTGCGGTTTGGTTCCGATGGATATCTCTATGTCTTGGAAGCCTTCGACGGTCTGTTTCGTGTGAATGCGAGCACTGGTGTCAAAGAGTTGATTGATTTGAACAATCCGGAGATCAAAGGCCTTTTCAATGACATCGTGTTTGATCCCAAGTTGAATGTGGTGTACATATCAGTGTCGAGCACCCGATGGGCGTTAGACAGAGTGCCCTACAGTGTCCTCGACTACGAAGACACCGGTTATGTGTTTGCACACAATTTGGACACTAAGACCAGTGTTATCCTCAGACGTGGCTTCAGATTTGCGAACGGAATCGAAGTCTCGAAAGACAATAAATACCTCTTAGTGTCAGAAACGACCACTTTTTCCATCCATAAGATCTCACTGCAAGCCATTCACAAAGCAATGAAAGCCAACCAACAGATCGCTGACAACGAGTTGGAAGTGTTCGCCAAAGAGCTGCCGGGAGAGCCCGACAACATCCGGGTCGATGCCAACGGCGACGTCTGGTTCGGAGCCTTTTTGGTGCGAACAGAGGGCAAGACATTGAGGGACCACTTGTCCGACTGGCCGTTCGTCCGCAAAACGGTGGCGCGAGTGCTGTACTTGACTTCACTTGCGTTTGATTTCATAAACCGAAACATAACCCCAAACCACGCGTTGGAGTCGTTTGCCTTTGACCTATACTCCGGTCATATTATGTATAAATTTATGCCTAAGAAGGGAGCCGTCATTAAGTTGGACGCAAACACCGGCAAAATCAAACAAATCCTCGGCTCCAATGAGTTCAATGGTGTCTCCGAGGCTATAGTGGACAGTGAGGGCGACCTATACTTCGGCTCATTTAGGAACCAATTTAT